CGAGACTGTTACTTAACAATGATTTTTTTTATCTAATTAATTTTTTTTATTTAAATTTAAGTTTTATATTTCGTGTAATTTGTTGATGATTAGGACCCAACAACAACAAGAAAAGTGACTCATGCTGGTGATGGACTGTGGATTCGTCCATGGGAAGAAAATTGGTTACATATATTATTATAATTTTTATGGTGTTAAATATTTGTAAGATGAAAAACAAAAGGATAAGATTGTTCAATCTCATGCCCTTACTTGGATTTCTAAAGAGGTTTGATTCTTACAAATTGATAAGTATACAAAGTGGTTTTATAGTGGATTTTGGTAAGTATACAGGGTGGTTTTCATGTTTATATAGTTGTTTATACAGAGTGGTTTTCATGTTTATATAGCTATTTATACAACGTGGTTTTCATGTTTATATAGTTGTTTATACAAAGTGGTTTTCATGTTTATATAATTGTTTATACATAGTGGTTTTCATTGTCGTTTCCTTATTCATTATCCTTTTCAACAGATTTATGCAATATTAGTAGGTTGGAAAGAATTTGTTTATGAAAAATTCCCCGATTTTGATTCCATCAACGATGGTGTGACAACAAGGTTTGCTTTTGAAAATTGGTTTTCATTTGCTAATTAATTTTTTTTCTTGTTCATAATGATTTAGTGACCCTCGTCAGCCTTATTGATGGTGGTGTACATGCCTTGCACTTTTTCACAGTAGTGGTTTACGTTTCAAATAGTGAATTTTCGAATAGTGGATTTACGAATAGTGAATTAACGTTTTTTTGTTTTTGTGTTTTTGGGTTTTTGTTATTTTTTGAATTCTGTTAGTAGTGGATTACGTATATTTTTAGTGGATTTCGATAATTTTGTTGTGGATTATGTTAATATTAAAGTGGATTACGTTAATTTTACTGTGAATCATACGGTAATTTTACAGTGTTTTTCTATAAATTTATAGTAGTTTTCGATGAGTATATAGTGGATTTTAATTTTGGTTACTGTGGTTGAAAAAATAAAAAATAAAAAATAAAAAATAAAAATGAAAAAAAAAAACAAAAAAATAAAATGAAATTAGGCGTTAAAAATCATATCTTTCAAACCTGGTGGAGAAAATAAAAAATTAAATAAAAAATTGAAATAAATAAAAGCAATATTTTATTTTAAATTCAAAATTAAAAAAACTATATTTTTTTGTAAAAAAACTGAAATAACGTGAGATTTGTGAGGAGTTATTTTGGAGAGAGAGTATGATAAGTGCATTTTGGATAATTTGAGTTAAATGTGTTTATGTCAAATATCAATTAATAAAATGGACTTATCACGAAGTCGAAATTTAATGAGGGGTTTTTGTCAAATAGCCCCTATATAAAAATATTTCTTTAATAAAATTATAACATAAAAACTCCTAGCGTAAATTATATCTTATTAATAAAAGTAAGGAATTCTAGTAAATCCTAGGATTTTTTCCCGCTCATTTGATAGTTATAATTGTCATTTATTTAATTAATTAATTTTATTGTTTTATTTTATTTAATATAATCAAGTTTAATAATTCCGTTAAGTATCCAGACTTTTTGGCCTCGAATCTACGTAGTTTTTCCCACTAAAATTGTCATTTTACTTATTATTAATTTTATGGGAAAATTATTTAATTGTTTAGAAAAACATTTGGTTCTTATTTTATCAATAAAAGTAAGGTTGCTCCTGCAAAACCTTAGGATTTTTTCCCGCTCATTTGATAGTTATAATTGTTATTTATTTAATTAATTAATTATGTTGTTTGATTTTATTTAATATAATCAAGTCTAATAAATTTGTTAAGTATCCTTATTTTTTGGCCACAAATCTAAGTATTTTTTCCCATTAAAATTGACATTTTACCTAATATTAATTTTATGAGAAAATTATTTAATTGTTTAGAAAAATATTGGATTCTTATTTTATCTTATTAATAAATAGTAAGGTTGCTCCTGTAAAACTTGAGAATTTTATTCCCGCTCATCTGATAGTTATAATTGTCATTCATTTAATTAATTATTTTTATTATTTTATTTACACGTATTTTTTTCCTACTAGTTCACACCCCCTAGTTGAGAGTGGAAAACCTCATACCGATACAAGGAACCCATTTGATGAGATCCGCATCAGAACAACTTGTGCAAATTGTTAAATTTACCATGTTTCTGTTCTGAAATCAACGGTCTGGATTTGCAGCAGAGGAAAAACTGGCAAATCTCAGAAGCTCACATGATTTGCTATAATCAATGTATATGACATCATTGTACATGTAAGATAAACTATATATATGGTATGGAATATTTAACACTATAATCCATCATATATATATCTCACTGTAACGTATAGCCTAATTTTATCATGTTTCATCAAATTCATCACCAAGTGGGCACTAGTAGAAATATAGTTTTTTACTATAATTTTTTGTCACGCTAACAAGCAGTAATAATAGGTACATTTTATTATGGTTATCTTAGTAAAAACAGTAATAGATAATTTTGGAGCAGTAGTAAATGCTATTTTTGCTACGGTCATTTACCATAGCAAAGTTTTTGTCACGCCCGTATATGCTACAGGGCAAATTCGTAGCAAAAATATTTTTACTACGAATTTGGTATCTTTTGTTACGGTTAATGATAGTAGTAAAATATCATTTTTCTACTTATAGGGGTACGAAAAATTGTGGAAAAAATTGAACTGCTTTATCAACCGTATAAACTAAACCAGCGCAAACAAAAACTGGGTCAACTACTTACTTATATGAACTAAAAAATCATTTTTCTACTAATGGGGGTACGAAAAAACTGTGGGAAAAATTGAACGACCTTATCAACCTAATGATGCTAGAGTTCAATCACCTTAGAGAGTTGAAATATGATGAGCTGGAAGAGCAAAGTGGATCACTGGCTCACGAGCTTGATGACCTTGAGATACATGCGATCATAGAACACGTGAACTAGGCGGGGAGTTGATCCGGCGGAAACCCCTCCGACGCTCAAGTCAGACGTGCGGATAATAGAAATGGTCCAGATAATCCATGTTGTAGTATTGTTTATAATATGACGTACCTTAAAGAATGTATTCAAACCTTTATTTATACCTCGTTGATTGGGCTGAAGTTTAATTAGTTGAGATTGTCGGGCCAAAGCCTTATTTGAAGATGATTGGGCCTCGGTAATAGTGGTCTTCAATATTGGATTTGTGGCCCAGTAAATAAAGAAATTATAGGCCTATTGAGTTGGCACAATTAACCATATCACAATCGTAACTAAACCAGCGCAAACAAAAAAATGGGTCAATTACTTAATTATATGAACTGCTTTAGCTTTATGGTATTAGAAAGTTTCATACCGTCGTCTTACCAAATATTGCGTATACTGTTAATTATTGTCAGTAAAAGAAAAAAAAATAGTCATATCATTTTATCCTCAATTGGACATTTAATTTATTTAGAAATAATCGATTGTGATATGTATAAAAGAGAGAGCATAAGAATGAAAAAGGTTTGTCCCGTCGTATAAGTAAAAATACTTGGTGGACAAGAAATAAGGAAACTTGTCCTAACTCTCTTCTTGGCCTACTAAGACTTTGGGCCAAGTATATGGGCATTCATCTCGAATTTTAATATGTACAAGACGTGGGGTCCAATAAAAGTAGAAACCCGATCAACAACCCATTAAAGGGTTAGAAAGCCCATGAGGACAATTTGGTCCATATCAAATAGATATGGCGGCCACTATTTCGATTGGGTGATATACGACCTAAATCCGCCTAGATATGTTAATCCACAACTTCTCCGACAAGATTCAGTCACCCACGACGACTTTCGAAGCAGATCCGGCCATGATACATCCTATTGAGCTAAAGCCCAGTTCTTGGACTTGTTCCCGGTTCTTATCGGGATTTTGGTAGTTGATCTGGATTTTTGACCTTTTTGGTTTTCACATCTAACTGGACCGCACATGGCGATGGTTCACGGCTGAACCGGTCCGGTCTGGTTTCAAAACATTGGTGATTTTAAGAGAAAACTCTAGAGAGAAGTTATAAAAAATAAGGTTCGAGTGTTTTAATATCTAAAACTTTTAAATGAGTTTTTAATATCTAAATTAACGAGTTTGAAGTTCCAACAATCAATAATAATAGGTAAAATGAGTTTTTAGCGTTTGGTACCCCAGTGTAATGTTTAATAGCTAAAAAAACCCTATGTTAAAACAATTTGCATAGACCCCCTATGATGAGAAGCAAAGCCAATGAAGTCCATGCGAGTTGATTGTGCACTACACTCGCCGATTATGCGACTGAGAGTGTGTTTTTTGACCTTAGAAGATCAAAATGCCCTTTAAATTAATTCTTTAAAAAATTACAGATTCATCCCGGAAAAGAGCCCTCTTCCAATTTAGTTCTTAACATTTTCTAAAAGCCCTCTTCTCCAAACCAACCAAAATCCATTACCACAAAGCATCTTCATCTTCTCATTTCCGGCAAGCCCATGATATTGAGAAAGAGAATCCATGGGTTTGCAATTTGTTGTTGTGTGATAGAATCCATTTTCGGCAAGAATCACATCAGGGCTTGTTGAAACAGATATTCAAAGAGAGTTCGAGATTTCCGAAACTAACTCTCCAGCTCACACTCCACAGGATTGATGACTCCTTGAAAAGATTGACTTCAACTATGTACAAATATTTAGGAGTTTGTTGTAACTAGAGATTAGGATTCCTCGGCAAACTGTTAGCCTAAAACTCTATATAATGTAATCTATGTAAGTGATGAAAATGGTGAAAAATAAAAAACTCTTTCATATATTTCTGCAAATATATTCTTATATGGTATCAGCTGGGTATTGACAAAGGTCGTAAATTATTTTCTCTTCGTCTACTGCATCTGCCACAAACACTTCATCCCTTCCCATCTTTAATCCTTATTCCAGCATAAATGTTACTAAACTTACTCGCACAAATTATCCCATATGGAAAGCGCAAATGCTTCCTTACCTAAAAGGCCAAGAAGTCTTCGGTTATGTCGATGGAACAATTAAAGCACCACCTGCAACTCTTACCGTCAATGGCACCTCAACTCCAAATCCCGAATTCGCTCTCTGGACCAAACAAGATAATCTAATTCTTAGCACTATTAATTCCTCTCCCACCGAAGAAGTTCTTGCCCAAGTTTATCAATCTGAAACCTCCCATGCCATTTGGGTTGCAGTTCAAACATGTTTTGCTTCTCAATCTAGAGCCAAAGTTGTCCAAGTTCGGTCTCAATTAGGTACATCTCGCAAAGGTCATCTCTCTGCTACAGATTACTTCGTGCAAATCAAGAAACTCGCAGATCAACTATCTATGGCTGGCCAGGCACTCACTTCGGATGATATAATCACTTATATCTTGGCTGGTCTTGGACCGGAAAATGATCCCTTGGTTAATACTATTGTTGGTCGTGAAAGTATCACTCTAGAAGAGGTTTACTCTATGTTTCTCACAACTGAAGCTCGGATTCTACACAACAATCAACCACTCTCCGCACTCTCTGTAGCAAGTGTTAATGTGGCTGCTCGATCATTCGATCCACCTCGTGGTCGGGGTCGCGGTTTTTCTAATGGTCCTCTAAGCCGTGGTAATCAGTCCTATAGAGGAGGATACAACAACAGCCGTGGAGGTTACAGTGCCAGTAACCATACTTCCTTCAACCGAAACAATTCTGGTGTAGTTCAAAGATCAAACTTATGGTGTCAGCTTTGTGAAAAACATGGTCATACTGTCCACAAGTGTTATCATAGGTTTGACGTCACTTTCCAATCCTCCTATAAACCAAAAGGTCCAAGTGCTATGCTTGCCTCCGCCTCGCCGACCACAGACTCTGTTTGGCATCCTGACACGGGAGCAACTCATCACATGACTCCGGATATGAACAAACTCACACTTCGCAGTGAGGATTATCAAGGTTCAGATGAGATTCAGGTTGGAAACGGAGCAGGTTTGTCTATCTCTCATCATGGTTCTTCCAAAATTTCTACTCCTTCTCATTCTTTTCTTTTACATCAAATTCTTGTAGTTCCTGCCATTACTAAAAATCTTTTATCTGTTCATCAATTTGCTAAAGATAATCATGTTTTCTTTGAATTTCATGATTATTTTTTTCTCATAAAGGATTACTCAGGGAACATCCAACATAGAGGTTGTCTTTCGGATGGCCTGTATTGTTTTTCGCCGTCTTTTCATAAGTCCTCCCCTACTGCCTTTGTAGGTACTCATTTATCCGTCTCCGACTGGCACAATCGACTTGGCCATGCTTCATTTCCTATTGTTCAGCACGTTATTTCTACAAATAAATTTCCTATTGTCAAGAATAAGAGACACAATGTTTGTTCTGATTGTCAGATGGGTAAGAGCCATAATCTTCCCTTTACATCTTCTGAATTTAACTCTTCCAAACCTCTTGAATTAATTTACTCAGATGTTTGGGGTCCTGCTGCTTGCTTATCTACTTATGGTTCCCGTTATTATGTTTGCTTTGTTGACCATTTTACCAAGTTTATATGGCTTTTTCCTCTTAAACAAAAGTCTGATGTTGAGTCAATTTTTCTACAATTTCAAGCTCTTGTCGAGCGACACTTTGATACTAAAATAACAGCTATACAAACAGATTGGGGGGGAGAATATAGACGACTAAATACCTATTTTAAATCACGTGGAATAGCTCACCGTATTTCTTGCCCTCACACACATGAGCAAATGGGTTTGGTTGAAAGGCGACATCGGCAAATAGTTGAGATGGGCCTTGCTTTACTAGCTCACTCAAACTTACCTAAATGTTTTTGGGAAGATGCATTTTTAACTGCAACATACATTATTAACCGTTTGCCGACAAAACATTTGAATAAAAAATCCCCTTTTGAACTAGTTTACAAAAAGAAACCGAATTACAATTTTATGCGTATCTTTGGTTGTGCGTGTTGGCCCAATTTAAGACCCTACAATAAACATAAAATTGATTTTCGGTCTCAAACGTGTATTTTTCTTGGCTATAGTCTATGTCATCAGGGCTACAAGTGTCTCGACTTGACAACGGGAAAAATATGTGTGTCTCGTCATGTTGTTTTCAGCGAGTCCCTATTTCCTTATGTTTCGACTCCTGAACACCATCTGTCTCTTCAGAAATTATTTCCCTACCACACTCTTTAAATTCCGCCAACTTTACTTCACCTCAAATGTCTCTTCCTAGTACGACTACTCCGTCTCCAACTCCTGCTACATCTCAACCATTGATAACAAATGTATCTGTCCAAGATCATGGTGAACGAGATGTTCCCGTCCATAATGCTGAATCAAATTATGTGGTTGCGACCACAACTGCAGCACCATCTCATCAAATGGTGACTCGTTCTAGAACCAACTCTCTCAAGCGGAAAACACCATTTGCAGGTCTCGCCTTAAAATATCCTTTGCCCGAAGCTCTAATAGCTACTACGCAGCACACTTTTGTTGAGCCTACATGCTTTAGCGAGGCTGTAAAACACAATGAATGGCGTGAAGCTATGAACCAAGAATTTGACTCCTTGCTAAAAAATAACACTTGAACCCTTGTTCCTCTTAATTCGAATGTCAACCTTGTGGGCTGCAAATGGGTTTATAGGATCAAGCGAAAAGCCGATGGCTCTGTTGAACGCTTTAAAGCACGTCTCGTAGCGAAAGGCTACCATCAACAGCAGGGTATTGATTTTACGGATACTTTCAGTCCAGTTGTAAAATCAGTCACTATCCGTTTGATATTGTCTATTGTTGTGCAACGCAATTGGGCAATTAAACAAATTGATGTGCATAATGCTTTTCTGCACGGAAATCTCCATGAGAATGTCTTTATGTCTCAACCTCCTGCTTTATTCATCCAGACTTTCCTTCCTATGTGTGCAAGCTGCAAACGAGTATTTATGGGCTCCGTCAAGCACCGCGAGCTTGGTTTTCTCGTCTAACAGATAAGTTGGTTTCTCTCGGTTTTAAGGGGTGCAAATCTGATACCTCCTTATATGTTCTTCGGCAAGGTGATTTACGTGTTTATTTTCTCATATATGTTGATGATATTATTGTCACTGGATCTGACTCACTGAAAATCCAACACTATATTACACTTCTTGGTAATGAATTTCCTGTAAAAGAATTGGGAGATTTATCTTTCTTTCTTGGCATTGAGGCTATCCGAACTGATCACGGTTTGTGGCTGACTCAGAGAAAGTATATCCTTGATCTTTTGGTTCGGGCTGGTATGGACAAAGTGAAACCATGTACTACACCAATGGCCACCAACTGCACTTTGTCTAAATATGAAGGTTCCACTTTCGAGGATGCGCAACTTTATCGTAGTATTGTGGGAGGCCTGCAATATCTTGCTTATACCAGACCAGACATAGCTTATGGTGTTCATCGGGTCAGCAAATTCATGCACTCACCAAGAGTTCCTCATTGTCAAGCTGTTAAAAGAATACTACGATATCTTAAGCATTCCATTTCGAATGGTTTGCTTTTATCCAGAACCTTTTCTCATGAGCTCCAAGCATATACTGATGCTGACTAGGCTTCTGATCCAGACGATAGACGTTCTATTGGTGCTTATTGTATATTTCATGGTGACAATCTTATCAGTTGGACGTGTAAACAACAACCTACCATAGCTCGAAGCAGCACCGAGGCTGAGTAAAAATCCTTGTCTAACACTGCCGCTGAAGTACAATGGATTCAGTCACTTATCTCCGAAATTGGCCTGCCACTTTCTGCTTCACCGCGCTTATGGTGCGACAATATTGGTGCAACATACTTGAGCGCTAATCCCGTCTTTCATGCAAGAACTAAACATGTTGAACTTGATTTTCATCATGTTAGAGATCAAGTTCTTGCAAGACAACTTTCTGTTTGTTTCATCTCTTCCAAGAATCAAATTGTAGACCTTCTCACCAAACCTTTGAGTGCTACACGTTTTATGTTGTTAAAAAGCAATCTCCATGTCCAAGATCTTCCCATTCGATTGCGGGGGCGTGTTGAAACAGATATTCAAAGAGAGTCCGAGATTTCCGAAACTAACTCTCCAGCTCACACTCCACAGGATTGATGACTCCTTGAAAAGATTGACTCAACTATGTACAAATATTTAGGAGTTTGTGGTAACTAGAGATTAGGATTCCTCGGCAAACTGTTAGCCTAAAACTCTATATAATGTAATCTATGTAAGTGATGAAAATGGTGAAAAATAAAAAACTCTTTCAAATATTTCTGCAATATATATATTCTTATAGGGCTCCGTCCAGGTTGTCTGATTGCTTTCTTCTCGTCGGCCATTATTATTTGAGGTGGTGGCGCCAGCGCCGCTGAAGCAGCAGCCGCCGCCTTGTATAAGCGGATGTGGAGGAGGAGCATGATGGGTTGGTGGGGCATGTGAATGGGTGGACTGGTGTTTGGGTGTGGAAGAAGATGACTTCTTTTAATTTCTTATTATTATTTTTTTATATATATATATATTTAGTATATATATTTTTGGCATTATGTTTTGTTTGAATAAATGTTTAGTTCTATTTTATATATTTGTTTTTATTTTTAATAATTATTAAAATAAAGGGTTATGTAGTATACTTTTATTTTTCAAGTGGGTTTGTTTCACAATCTAGGGAAATAGTTTTTATTAGCAGTATATATTATATATTTTTGTAAGGGTAATATAGTCATTTCAGTATAGTCAACAAACTTTTTTTGTTGAGGGTGGTGTGCTAAATATTAAATAAAACTCATTAGATGGGTATCTGTACTAATTGTCATAACATAAGAACTTTTTTACCCATTATACATTGTGCAGGGTATCGAATACTAAAAAGTAAAAACTCTAGCAAAATTGGTAAAAGTAATATATAATTTTGTATTAGAATTCTAAAGTAAATGAGAAAAAAAAAAAAAAAAAAAATTTGCCAAAATTGACACAAGTTTGGCATTGGCTTCTCCAAAATAGGCGGCGAATAATCATAGATTTAAGAAAATTTGTAAACCTCAAAATTAGGGGTGTGAACGAGCCGAGCTCGAGCCGAGCTCGCCTCTTTTGGCTGGCTCGAGCTCGAGCTCGAGTTTATTTTGTCGAGCTCGAGCTCGAGCTCGTCGAGTTCTTCTTTTTTTGGCTCGAGCTCGAGCTCGTGTTAATTTTGTCGAGCTCGAGCTCGAGCTCGAGCCCAATCTTTTTTTTTTTTTTTTTTTTTTTTTTAATATTTTTTAATTATTATTTTATTATTAAAAATTATTTTTAAAAAATACAAAATAAAAACTAAATTGTGATTATATATTTTTTTAATATTTGTATTTATTTCTATAATATTTTATATTATTATACATTATTTAAATAAAAATAACATATAAAAAATAAAAAAAAATAAAAATAAAAAAAAAAATAATAAATCCAGCTCGCGAGCCGGCTCGCGAGCTGATGAACAACTAAAATTCGGCTCGAGCTCGGCTCGTCAAAAAGCTCGAGCTCGCGAGCTCGAGCTCGAGCTCGAAAACCTCGAGTCCGAGTTCGAGCTTTTTACGAGCCAACTCGTCGATCTCACGAGCCGGCTCGGCTCGTTTACCACCCCTACTCAAAATATATATAGACAGTTGAATCTAGATGATTACCTAAAAGCAAATAAAAAGTGGATTTAGATTTAGATATAGATATAGATATATAGATACTGATAGAGATATAGATATACGTAAATGCTGAAAACGAAAGTAAGCAGAGGTCAAATAGATTGTATCGTGTGAATCTTGGTCCCACCTTTTCTTTTCTTCCTCCCTTTCGTATTTACATTTCCTTCAAAAGCAGCTTTACTCCATTAATTTCCATCTCTACTGAGTCCTTTGGAACTAGTTCAACGGGATTAATTAATTAATTGTATATTTATAATTGCTAGACCAAAACCCACCCAGAAAAAAAAAACCCCAAACCAAATCAACAATCCAAAGAGTGTTTTGTTTATTGAAGGGGAGCGTGAATCGTGGGTTTCTCTTGTTTGTGCGGCGGTGTGGGTGAAGTGTTTCTGCATCGTGTGTTGCTTGCAAGTGCGATCAGATGGGGAAGGTGGCGGTGACGGCGGCGGTGGTGTGCACTGCGGCGGTGTGTGCGGCGGCAGTTGTGGTGCTGAGGAGGCAGATGAAGAGCTCTGGAGAGTGGGCCAAGGCGGAGGCCATTTTTAGGGAGCTGGAGGACAAGTGTGGGACCCCCACGGCCAAGCTCCGGCAGGTGGCCGATGCTATGGCGGTGGAAATGCACGCCGGCGTTGCCTCCGATGGTGGCAGTAAACTCAAGATGCTAATCAGCTTCGTTGACAATCTCCCCACTGGGTAATTAATGCTTATAATTATTATATATTGCTTGTATGTTAATTCAGTTTCTGTTTCTTGTTTCCATCTTTGTTCGATTGTTTGTCAAGTGTGTGTATTTGCACTAATATTTTCTAATGTCAAGATTGAATCTTTAGGCCTCGTTTGGTTGGTGAGATTAGCCGCAATTAACTAAATAATTGAACTTTATTTGATGTTTGGTATCACCAATACCGGAACTATTATGTTATCATGGCTTATCTTGCCTCCTAGGCATTTTTTTTATTCGATCTGCCAAGGTCCAATAACACAATTGGGTTTCATTAGATTATTTAATCTTATCCTGGCAACCAAACGAGGCTTTTGTGTATAAATTGTCGGCTGCGAAACTGTCTTTGTCCAGATTTTGCGAAAAAATGACATCATTTTTAGCTTAATGTATCTCTAATAAGTTCGTACAATCTCTTTCTAAAATGGCATCATCAATCCGAAAAAATGACATCATCAAATCCGATAAATGGCTAGTAGCCCTTCTGAAATTCGTCACCGATGTGGAACTGAAGCTGGTTAGAAAATCACTAATTAAATAAATCTTGTGGAGGATATTATTTTAGGGATGAAAAGGGATTGTTCTACGCATTGGACCTAGGCGGAACAAACTTCCGTGTCATGCGTGTGCAGTTAGGTGGCACTATCAAACAAGAATGCGAACAAGTTTCTATCCCTCCTCATTTCATGGTCGGATCATCTCATGTGAGTGTCTTTCAATATAAATTAAATTGCCGTTTCTTTTTCTTCTTTTTTTTTTGGTCGACACCAATTATCAATAATGATCTTTGATTCAGGAATTATTTGATTTTATTGCGGGCGTGGTTGCCAAATTTGTTGCTAAAGAAGGTGAAGACTTTCATCTTCCACCTGGCAGGCAAAGAGAGCTCGGTTTCACCTTCTCCTTCCCCGTTAGGCAATCGTCTTTAGCATCGGGGACCTTAATCAAGTGGACAAAGGGCTTCTTCATTGAAGATGCGGTTAGTTTAATTTATTACTGCTTTTGATTTTATCGTGTTATTGGGTAATATTTGAATTTGATTGTGTTTATAATAGAGGTTGAGTTTAGATTAACTATCCTTCATATGCATGATTAATGTACGGGTCGATTTATATCACGGGCTTCCAAACAAGGCCTAATTGTGCAGCTAGTTTGTTGCACTAACAAGTTCTTTTTCGGGTTTTGAATAGGTTGGAGAAGATGTTGTGGGAGAGCTGACAAAAGCAATGGAAAAAGTTGGCCTTGATATGCGTGTCACGGCTTTGGTGAACGTTTTACTTTATTTCTCTAAGATCCATTATTTTTATTCCTTTTTATTTATTTAAATTTATATATTTGGTGTTTGGGTGGGATGCAGATAAACGATACTGTTGGAACATTAGCTAGAGGGCGATACACCGATCCAGATGTCGTTGCTGCTGTGATACTTGGAACGGGAACTAATGCTGCCTATGTCGAACGTGCACAAGCTATTCCAAAATTGGAGGGTGACTTGCCGAAATCCGGAGAAATGGTCTGCTAATAATTTTTGTTTTTGCTATAAATAGTTATTGAAGATATTTATTAAGTGATTGAATTGACTGAGATTTCCTTTATTTATTTATTTATAATTATTGGAGGTTATAAACATGGAATGGGGTAACTTTCGATGTTCGCATCTTCCACTTACGGAATACGATCAAAGTCTTGATGATGAAAGTTTAAACCCCGGAGAACAGGTTACTTTGTTTGTACCCTGTTATAAAATTTTCGGTTTTTATTTTATTTTATTTTATTTTATTTTATTTTTAAAATTTGTTGCTTGACTGCAGATATTTGAGAAGATAATATCTGGCATGTATCTTGGAGAAATTGTGCGTAGAGTTTTGCTGAGGATGGCTGAAGAAGCATCGTTTTTTGGTGATAGCATCCCACCGAAACTCAAAATTTCATTCATATTGAGGTATTAAATACGAATTGCATATCTATTGTTTCTTTCGGCAGTTGATTCATGTACTAATAATAAGTAGATCTGCTGAGACGTAACATTAACTGATTGCACAGAACACCAGACATGTCTGCAATGCACCACGACACTTCTTCCGATCTCAAAGTGGTCGGGAAAAAACTCAAGGATATTTTAGAGGTAATAATAAAAAAAAATTCATCATAATTTTCTTTTCTTTTTTTCTATATCGTACTACGATGAATTCACTCAACTCACATTCACGACACAAAAAAATAGGTAACTAGTTCATCGTTGAAAATGCGGAGAATGGTGGTGGAGGTGTGCGATGTTGTGGCCTCGCGTGGGGCCCGCCTTGCCACTGCAGGGATAGTAGGTATTCTCAAAAAACTGGAGAGAGGAGAGAAGGAGCGGTCGGTTATAGCTGTGGACGGTGCATTGTTCGTGCACTATACTGAATTCAGGAACTGTATGAAAAGCACACTAAAGGAACTGTTGGGAGAGGCTGCTTCTGACAGGGTTATTCTCGAGCATTCGAATGATGGTTCGGGTATTGGAGCAGCACTTATTGCAGCTTCTCATTCTCAGTACCTCCCAGTTGAGGAGTCTTGATCCGGTTATACTGAAGCTTCGAAATTCGAGTTCTTTTTTTTTTTTTTTAAATGAGGGAGATAGTCTTTTTGTTAGACTGTAGTTTTCAGGATACAAATAAAGTTGGGGAGGTTAAAATTGTTTCAAGTTTAGTGCTTACTATAAACTGAGTAACAAAAGGATTAAAATTGTTAATTGTAATGGGATAAATAAGAACAATTAACTTTGAATAATGAGTGAGAAATTAGTAGAGTATGAGCATCTTTGTTCTTTCTCATCTATCTTTATGTTGTTTATGGAAATTATCATCTTAATTCTTTATGGATTTAGTACAACGGACAATTATATGTTACACCGAAGTCTACATTCGGTCGATCTTTACCGTTAGGGATGGCCATGGGGCGGGTACGCCTGCCGTAAAAAATATATACTTTATTTATATTTATAATTTATTTAATTAAAATATCTTCAAAATGAGTTTTTATAATATAAAAATATATTTTATTTTGCTATTAGAAAAATAAATAATATACTATGTTGGTAGATGACAAAAAATGCATCTTAATAAATACTTTTAATGCAAAATAATAAACTAATTAAATATTTTAAGAAACAAAGTTCCTCTATTCTAAAGCATCAAAGAGACAACATACACTAACACAATTTTTGTCATCCTAGTTTTACTTCTTATCATTGCATATTTACTTTTTCCTTTTCTTTTTAATAACTATTTTTTGAAATTCCGTCCCATCCCGTATTTCTTCCGAATCCCGTAATCCCACATCACTACTTTTAGTCCCAAATAGCAAAATCCCGATTGGGACGGGATCCCAAATCCCTATTGTTTATATGCGGAAGTTTAACCCGGTTTTGTTAATGACATTGTATTTGTACATGGTTTCAACTTTCAAAACCTTAATCAAATATTCACATATACCAATACAAAAATAAATCTCTATCAGTTTAATAGCCAATAAAAGATGATGGTGCATACATACTACTTGCGCCAATATTTGGCCTTTTCTATAAAAGTCTTGCAAAATTAAAAAAAAAAAACTAAATGGTGAAAGATTTTTAGGGTCTATAAAAAAAACGATTGAAAGACTTTGAATACTTGTAGTTCTTGAGAAATCAGTTGATCGAAAATACTCGTGTTTATCGTATCTATGCAGTTTCACTTCTACCATACAATGAGTGCGGAAGTGGTTGGCTTGTCGGGCAAAATCAGACATGCGGAGACGAATGTTTCTGGGCAAACTTTACCTCATGTACAACACCATCCATCATTCCAAAGAAAGAAAGAGAGAAGCACAAATAAAATGGTAAACCATAATATTTCAGTAAGGTGTCGTCAAATTTAGCTAAGTTCCGTGAAGAAGCAGCAGCTCCAAAATGAAGGCATGAACTATAACTATTCAGCACAGCGTCACGATCAAATTCAGCTAATTTTATGTTCAAGAGATCGATTCTATGATTCTATCATTAAGTGTTCGGTTTTTGCCCTAAAACCGAACCGAACTGTAATCTTACACACCCCATACTTCAGCATCAATAAATATAAATTTTATTTTATCTCCCAGATCAAATATTAGAACACGATCTAAAACTAATTTGGAAACAAACTTCGATATTTTTCAATAAGAAACTTTTAGAAAGAGATGAGATCAACATTTATGCCATAGAATCCATCACTCGGACCTTCTACATAGCATAAACCTAAGACCCAGGAAAAATAAAATTCAAATCTCACGACTCCTCTTTTCGAGTTAGTACTAAGCAACTCAACCTGTCATTTCTCAAGACTTTTAAATACCAGAGCACACATATAAATACTTAATCTTTATCTCAAAAAATAAGCTATCTATATATATATATATGTAATGTATGTATACATGCTTTCGAGTGAATCCTAGAAATGGGGTCTATTTAAGTAATTAACATAACCTGAGCTTTTCAGGCAAAAACGAAAACATGGACATAAAAACCGTGAAGGATATAAGCTTACGGAACTCGCAGTCTCGTATATGCCACAAAACTCTTTACAATTACAATTAAACCAGGTACTGCTTAGGTTTAGTATTTCATTAAACCGATGGTTCCTTTTTGTAACATTCGTTTCATGTACACTCTGATACTTGGCCGAAAAGTGCAAATATTCGCATGATTCGATGAAGTAAACAAACTGAAAGAAACGGTTCAACGCATCTTATTATTCACCATCGAGTTTTGCGTTAACATGTATGCTCATTATTTCTACAAGGTACATTGATTCAAATATTTGCACAAAGTCGAAAACTTTACCAGTTTCACTACTTTTTGTCGGCCGAAGAATCCGAGACAAGCGACACATTATTGAGCCTCTCGAGCGCCAAAACGAGAGCCTGAGTACCCAAATCGCCCTCACCGTGTGCCTTAAGCGACACGTACAGCTGCTGAGCGAGAGCCAAACCGGGCAAAGCCAACCCCATATTCTGACACTCCCTCAAACAAATCCCCAAATCCTTCACAAAATGATTCACGTAAAATCCCGCCTCGAAATCCCTGCTCAGTATCCTGCTCCCGTACAATTCCAACGATTTCGACCCGGCTGCACCGGTCGAAATGGCATTAATGTAATTACTCAAATCCAAACCGGCTTTATGCGCATATATCAGACCCTCGCATAAGCCCACCATTGTTGAGGCGATGGTCACTTGGTTTGCTAATTTACAGAACTGCCCCTTCCCGGGCCCACCCATGTAGTAGACTCTTCCTAGATTGCTCAGCAGAGGGGTGAGGCGAGTGACTAGGGTTTCGTCGCCGCCGGCGAATATGGAGAGCGCGGCGAGGCGGGCGCCGCGGTCTCCGCCGGAAACGGGGGCGTCTACGGAGGAGCAGCCGGCGGTGGTGGCCGCGGAGTGGATCTCGACGGCGAGGGAGGGGTCGGAGGTAGTCATGTCGATTACTACGCCGCCTGGGCGGAGGCCGGCGAGAGCGCCGGAGGTGGGGTCCAGGAAAACGTGGCGGACGTCGGAGGGGTAGCCGACGATGGAGAAGATGACGTCGGATTGGGAGGCGAGTGATTTTGGGGAGTCCGCCCATTGGGCACCCATGGAAAGTAGAGATTCGGCCTTGGACTGAGTGCGGGTGAAGATAGTGACGGCGTAGCCGGCCTTGAGGAGATGGGAGCACATAGAACGGCCCATTACTCCGGTGCCGATCCAGCCGAGTTTGGTGTTGGTTGGGCTGATGGGTTCAACGGCGGCGGCGGAGGCGGCCATGGAGTGGCGGAGTATGAGTGAGTAGGGTGGGGTTTGGGAAGAGAAGCGATGGAGAGAGAGGAAGGTAAATGGTCGCATCTTCGATTGTAATTGTAATTCTGATTGAGTGGTTATCGGAGCTGGGTATAGTTGTAATTCTGTGCGAATTCAAGGGTGTTTTGGTAAATAGACAGGTTTTATTTCCATCACTCGACCTTTCCATGGTTTGCCTAAAATCATATAATAGTTTTATCACAATTGATTTCGTTTTTGTTTTCGGTTTCATTTCTTAATAGTATCGTGTTTATCGTTGCCAATATTTTGAAACTCGGGCAGTACCGACCGGTTGGACTGCAAGCAATCTGATCCGGTGGTAAATTACAAAAAATCGGGTTATTATGAAGAAAAAAAACCGTGTTTTCTAGTTGAATTGTGAAACCTGGACCTGGTTGAAAACCCTTTTTAATTTAGAAAAACAAGATTGACTGAAAACAATATCGCTGTTAAAACATAAACCAAAAATAAAAAATAAAAAAACCAAAACTTTGAAATGGAATTGGAATGTCTTTCATAGACTGCGTAATCCATTCTTCACTCCATCCCTGACCCAACCCAACACAGTCACAAACCTTATCCCCAATCTAAATTCACCATACTCCGTTGTCATCTTCAATTTAACAGCAGCAAGAATCAACAAACGATGTACGACACCCTCTTCAATATTGATCACGACGAATAAGTTCTCTGAACCTACGATTTTCTATTACATACATCGAATGTATTTCTACATATGATGGGCTTCTTTCTAGAAATGTTTCTAAATCTATAATCAAGAAAAAATCTCTCATATGAGCTGCAAAAACTTATTTTTCTCTCTCCAACCAATTTTTGTATTTGTACAAAAGGTCTTAGAAGAGTTGTACAAGGAAATGACTTAAGAAAAAAAATCCTTCTCCATCAAGTAACCTAGTGCCGAAGTTTTCGTCGTCTACTCCTTTTTTTTTTTTTTTAATATAATTGGCTGAATTTTATTTTTTTCAATTAATTAAATAACCAATTGGGTACGATAGGGACCAATGGAGAAAGTATGGGTTCGAACTTAAATAATTTAATTAAACTCATATTCTAATAATAAGTATACTTAATTAATTATGTTGTAAAGTAACATATTTAATTTAGCTCTTTTGTTTGGTGATTGTGGAATAATGTAATGCATAAGAACGTAAATGACATAAGAGAGATATAGGAAGGGATACCACAAATGAACAACACAAGAGTGACAATCTGTAGAGAGATAATTGTGGAGATTAGATGTAGGGGGAGCGTTTCTCGTTAAATAGGCATAAACCGCTGGGAAGTTAAAAAGAGTTACATGGGAGTTATGAAACTACTAACACAATGGGGCAAATAAAGGGCATGTTAAGAAACTTGTGGGAAGTAACCCTCAAGTGGTTATGTTAGGAATCTCATATTCCACATTATTTATAATATATACTCCCACTGGGGGATTTCTATCAAACCACTTTTATGATTTTTGTGCTGCCTCTTTAAAACCTTTTGAGTATTAAACCCCAATGGAAAAAATAAACTCGGTTAGGAAAGAGAGTACAACGCACAATCTTTTCGATCAACATATGTTGTCTCGTTAAACCTCGGCGAGTAACAAAAATTCTGAGGGAAAAATAAACCTTGCACGAAGGAAAACGAGTACAATAAGGCACTCGATTATATGGACATGATAATACTTTGTGACCAATTTTGCCGCAGAAATTACAAGTATGATGAGATATTGATGATGCATGTGTTAATACATTTAATCCTTTATAATGTGATTCAAAACCAATTCCTGCTTTATCAAGAGATACATTTTGCATTCCCAACAGCTTGTCAAGATTATCCTTTCCTTTGGTAAATTTTTCAAGGCACTTGGTTAAATCTAAAACCTTTTCTTCCACGTCATGATTTATTTTGTTAAGAGATATTTTTTCCTTTTCATAACAGGCTATCTTATGCAGGTAGAGATCCAATTCTTTCTCTAATTTTTCTTTATCTTTGTTGATGCCGTTTATCTTCTTCTTAAGATGTTCATTTTTAATCGCAAGATTTTCTAAATCTTTTCAGCATTCATTAATCATATCATTCCATTCATCATCGCAATCGCTAGCTTTGTCAAGATCATCAAAGTTTTCTAAGTAAGAATGAAGTACCTCTTGGTTTGTCATGAAGCAGATGTTGGCAGATTCATCATCGGTCATGTCTTCTTCAGAATCATGTTCGTCCCATGTTGCACTCAAGCCTTTGGGTTTGGACCTTCTCTGGAATCTTTCACTTTTATTTAGTAGGGGGCAATCAGATCTTATATGTCCAGAGTTGTGGCACTCATAGCATTTTATCTCATTCTCGAGTTTTGAAGTTCTCTCTGAAAATTCCGGGAGATGTTCCGGGAGAAGTTCCGAGGGAATTTTCTTCTAGAATTTTTTAGTTGATTAAGTCGACGAGTTATCATGGCAATCTCCTCATTCATTTAAGTATTTTGAGTCGTTTGCTTGGTCCTGCACATTGTTAGATTTGAAAGCAATGGATTTATCATCACGATTTGAATTTACCTCATCTTTTGCAAGAATTGTGAGTTCATGGGATGTGAGTGATCCAATGAGTTCAGCAATGCTCATATTGTTTAGATCTTTTGCTTCTTGAATTGCAGTCACTTTTGGAGTCCAATCTCGGGGTAAAGATCTCAAGATCTTTTTGACTTGTTCACTTTGAGAGTAGACTTTTCCAAGTGCTGTTAATGGGTTTATGATCTCCATGAAGCGAGCATACATTTGACTTATGGATTCGCCTTGATTCATGTTGATCATCTCGTATTGATGTACGAGCATAGTGATTCTTTGCTCCTTGACTTGAGATGTACCTTCATGAGTGACTTGCAGCATGTCTCACATGTCCTTTGCAGTTGGACATGTACAAACTCTAGTGTACTCTTCTCTTGTGAGTGCGCATGCTATGATGTTTTTGGCTTTGGAGTTCATTGAGACAAGAATCTTGTCCTCTTTGCTTAGTTCCTTCCATGCCTTTGGAATCATTTTGCCTTCGACGTCTTTCATTGGAACATTAGGTCCTTCCAGGATGACATTCCATAGATCGCAATCAATAGATATTATGTATTCTTGCATACGATTTTTCCAAATAGAATATGATGTTCCATCAAAGAGTGGTGGCCTATTATGAGATTATCCTTCTGCAAAAACATCATTGCTAAAAGAAGCCATATAATCGTTAGCTCTTGGGTTGTTAAGCCCAAACAATGAATAACTAAGAGCACGAGGCTCTGATGCCAATTGAGAGAGTAAATACACCTAAGAGGGGGATGAATTAGGTTTTATAATAAACATTTTCTATTTTAATTAAATGACTTTAAGTACTTAATAGAATAATGAGTTGTTCTTTGGAAAATATTGTTATCGATGATTTAGAAAATGTAGCCAATTTATACGTTAAGTGTGAGGAGAAAATATAGCGAGAAAATTATGTGAGATACGGAAATTGAAAGTAATGCGTAAAGTAAAGAACACCGTGATTATAGTGGTTCGGAGAGAATCTCCTAATCCACTCTTCCAAGCCTTTGAACCTTTATTCTCGTGCCTCCAAGATCCTTAGATCCTCCACACTAACAAGCGTGCTCACAAGTCTCTAACGACTTTCGCACAAGTATCGTGCTTACAAGAGCTTCACTTTTTCGCACTTATCAATAAGTGCTTACAAGACTTTAATAACTTTCGCACTTACCAATGAACCTCACAATATGAATTGAATGCACTAACTAATAGCTAAAAAATTCCTCACTCAAAATATGGACTCAAATAAACAACGAGAGGTAGGACTTGAAATTTTCAGCAAGCAACTCTTTTCAGCTCTTTTTCGAATTTCACTTCCGTGCTTTACTTGAATGACTTCGATCACTATTTATAGGTGAGGTCCTCTACCTTCCAAAGGAAAAACATCAATCTTGATTTTCTTGATTGAGTTGATTGAGGTTATAATTGATTAGACTCAATTAGATCAGCTCAAATAGGAAAGCATTTGAATTTTGAAATCAAGAACAAAACTTTCTTCAACATAAATAAATTTCAGCATAACAACTTCCGGCAGAAGTGAGCATCTTCCGGACAGAACAATTTTTATAAATCTTTGATTGGTTGATTAATTGCAAACTGATTGAAGAGTTTCCTAAATAAAGAGATAGAGTCTCAATCAGCCAAACTTCAATTCAAAGCATGTTTGATTTTTGAAGGAATTTCTTCCAAAAATAGAATATAAAAGAAATCTTTTGTTTCCAAATATATTTCCAGCAAATAGAGAGAGAGGAATTTGGCTGATCCTTTCAAACATATTTTTCAAAAGAGAATTTGATTATTTTTTAAAATGAATTGCCCAAAAAAAACTTATAGAAAATAAAGATTATAAGAGTTGGGCTTTGTGAGTAAATGTGGAGGATCGTTTGGGCTTGTTCTCGAGATGGTTCAAGGGCATTGTGCCTTCGATTATGCTTAATATCTAATAAGAATAAGACTCAACATAATTCATTAGTTCCATAATCAATTGTTTGTTTGATCATCACTTTGGATTACAAGTCATTTGGCTAACAATTATTTTTTGCCAGAAACCCTTATTCTTCGATTCCTCAATCCAAATTCTTTGAGGTAAGTATGTAAAAACATCAAATTCGACACATAAACGAGCGTACATCAGATTTTGAAAGTTGAATACCCCTTGCATATGCTCGAAGAAAAGTGCCAAGTTGATTACCAATTCTTTCCAGGTAAGGCAAATTAAAATAGTAAAAGGAGAGCTCCGAGAGACGAATCCATGCAGCCACTCTTGTACTATCTTTATCAAATTTGAAGTCCTTCGTCCATCGAGAAATGTGGAACGACATAGAGGTGCCGATGGAATTAGAATCCCGTGTATCCATAATCATGTCATCGTAATCGACTGGAATAAGCAAAATATGACGTGGATCAACCAAATAAGCTCATTAGAAAGATTCCAAGATTGATATATTTTCGTACGAATGTCATGGAGGCTTGGGCAACCACTGGAAAGTTTCAATATTAAAGCGTGCTCAAATTTCTTTGAGGTGAGGCCCATCTCGAAAAGAGTAGAAAAGACATGCTGGATCCTCTTCAATGGAAGTGAATTGTTGAGGTGGCAGCGAAAGGTTGATACGGATGAACCGTGCAGAAGGTGGTTTTAGAGCAGCCGGTGTGAGGACCTATGCGAACGTACGAATTGCAGGTTGTTTGAGGGGAACCGTCGACGCCGAGTGTGTTAAGTCAGCCTAAGGAGCAGCGGCGCCGGAAGCAACCGGCGGTGACTCAGACATGGCGGATGATCAAGCGGAGATGGCTAGGGTTAGGGTTTTCGCAGGGAGGAGAGAGAAGAGAGCATCTTAATTTTTGTTAGAAGGCTAAGATTTAATTGTTTTACGACAGAAAGAGTAATAAAGTATTGACAGTAAGAGTAATAAAGTATTAAAAAATATCCACACAAAAAAAAAAAGAAAACGAAAAACAAAAAATGTAACGGTGAAACAATTTTGTGAGAAAAATACTAAATGAGTTTTTCAAAGAAACCAAATATTCCAAAAAATTTCATGTCTCAAAAGAACTTTTGTCTGATTTCTCCAAAAAATATATCCACTTGTTAAAGAGCAAGTATTGATTAATAATTGGACATGCCACATTCTTCTCAAGAGAACAAAAAAATTGCACATGCCACATGAATACATGATTGTCAAAACATTGCAGTTTATGCATAAATGACAGGCTGGCATTACCGCATATGCTCAATAAGACGTGAGCCAACAGCAATATAATATATACCATATGCTATCATCACTCCTTATCACTGTTTTTTCTATTTTCCCTTTTTTATTTTTTATTTAATGCTTGTATTAGATTAAAAATAAATATTGAGGTAAACAATGAAAAATGAAAATATAATCTTACTGCACAAATTAATTTAATGAACGTCACAGATTATGATCTTACTCGATAAGTAGATATATATATATATATATATATATATATATATATATATATATATATATATATATATATATATTGTCAATTACTCATTATATATATTCACATGTCTATATGTAGGGCTGGGCAAAAATTACCAAATACCGATTACCACGGTATACCTACCACAAATTATCGAATAAATACCGAACTATCGGTTACCACTGCATTTGGTACGGTATCGGTACCGTACCATTGTTTTACGGTACGGTAACGGTATTGTATCTTCAATACCATGGTAATACCGTACCGTACCGCAACTTATTTTAAAAATTAGTTAACATATATTTCCTTTTATATTGTTAAATAAAAAAAATATAGTCAACAAAATATTATTAAAAAAAATAAAAAACAAGAATAAGATATGATACATCCTATATATATTTTATATACATAATTATAATTGTTTTTATTATTTTCATATATTTATGCAAACTCAATATTTGGATCTCGTTGAAGTTGTTTATGTCACGTACTTCTTTAGTTTCAAAGTCCATCTAATCTCTTATTGGTGGATACTTTTTGCCATAATTTTCTTCTCCCTTTGTTTCCCTCCTAAGTTCCCAGCCTTTTGTTTCATTTGCATTATTGCAACATAGGTTTTTTTTTTTTTTTTCTCTTTATATAAACCATGAAACTTTTTTGCTCATTAGTTTCTACAATTTTTCTATAGATATCTTAGTAATCATTAGTTAATTGAAATGCTATTACGGTCGTATAATGTACATTCATGTAAATTGCCTGATTACCATATTCATTTGCTTAATTTGTTGTATTTATATATGCATTTATTTAGTATTCATCTTAATTATGGTATCATCCGAGTTAATCAACAAAATGATGTACGGTAGATTACCACGTACCGATCATACCGTACCGAAACTAACGGTATATCGAATAACGGTATACCGCAATTGTTGGTACGGTAACGGTATAGAATTTTTCAATACCGAAAGATACGGTAGGTACACGGTATTGAACAAAATGTTCGGTAACCGTACCGAAACCACCCCTATCTATATGTGTGATTGTTTGTAAATCTATAATGTAAAATAACATAACATATTTCACGAATTGTGGGATTTATTAAACATTTAATATCTATAGGAATTTTAAATGTTCGATTATAGTTTAGTTATGGGAGAAATACATTTTTGGTCCCTTCACATTTAACATTAAAATATTTTTGGTTTCCCGTGTTCCAAAAAAAATAGTTTTGGTCCATCGATGTACCACGTTATGACATAATATGTTGTTAAAAAAACATTGTTAAAAATAATAAAATATGGTATGTTACTTTCATTACTAAATTATTCCTTCAAAACATATTTTCCTCATAACTAATGTTAATAAAAAGTGTAAATTACACCCACACCTCTGAGGTATGCTTAAATAACTTTAAGATCCCTGTGGTATCAATAATTACACTCACCCCCTTGAAACGTAGTTATTAACTCTAATGGGATAATGCATTGAATACGGTATTACGATAGAGTTCTAACGGACTATTGGTTTCAAAAAGTGGTGGAGACAACAAAGAGTTATGGGTGATTTAAGAAATCTTGGGGGAGTTATGCCATCCCATAACTCCCCATAACTCTATGTTATCTCCACCACTAGCTAAAAGTAATAGTCCATTAGAACCCTATCGGAATAATGTATCCAATGAATTATCCCGTTAGAGTTTCTAACTACGTTTCAGGGGGGTGAGTGTAATTATCGATACCATAGAGACCTTAAAATTATTTAAGCATACCACAGGGGTGTGGGTGTAATTTACCCTAATAAAAATTACAGCCATTAGACAATTAGTCCTTGCAGTTCATTAAGTTGCCCACAAATGAAAATAGAATTTCAAATAAAGCCAAGGCCGAACCTTTTTTTTCCAACTTTCTTGTCATAAATACAATTCTACTTGCATGTAAGAAGATCATATTTTTGAATAAAAATTTCTATGACACTTACAATTTCAGGAGCAAAATCAATTTCATGATAATGATATGTTTTATTATTTAATTTAATTAGAATTAGTCAAATTATATGTTAGTGGGTAGTTTTTTATTAGTGGGCATGAATTAAATTAGTGGGTTAGTGTGGTTAAGGGGTTAGTGAGGTGGTAGTTAATTATTATTTATGAGTATTATAAATAGGGTAATTAGAATGTTACGTATTATGAAGTTTAAGAATCAATTAATCTCCCTTTGTTTTCTCTTAATTCTCGTCTCTAATTCTTCTCCTAATTCTAATTCTCCTAATTCATATCTCTCGATTTCTTCTTAATTCTCGAATTATGTTTCTTTACTCAAATTACCACGTAACAATGGTATCAGAGCTGTTACGTTCCATGGAGGCACGTAACCAATCAGATGCTGAGTTTCGTGCTGAGGTTGTTGAAACCCTAACTCGACACGAATCAAATTTCGACAAAATGCACAACACCCTCCAAGTTGTTCTCACCGAACTTCGAGCTCTAAGAGCCTCCTCCAAAGCCGAAAATGATGTCAACTCCTTTGTTGTGGGAGAAACACCACTACCGGTCAAGCAAAAAATAAATATACCTACAACACACTCAACTCCATATCATGCCCCAAATACAAACCTCAAACAACAAATTCCAAAAGTCGCCGCAGATAACGCAACGAAATGGATTTTCCAAGCCAAGCAATATTTTAAATTTCAAAGTATTGCCCAAAATCAGTAGGTGCACCTCGATTCATTTCGTTTGGAAGGACTCACTTTGGAACGGAATCGCCGGTTAATTGGGTTCAAGGGCTCGCCGACCGGGGAATATTTTACTGAGGCGTTGCTCTACCGTTTTAGTCCTACCGAATTTGACGATCCTTCCGAAGCCCTCACTCGTTTCATGAAACAAACACTCATTGATGCCATTTACCATGAAGAGTTCGAACAACTCTCTCAAATATGTGATGGATCACCCGATCAACTGAATTCACAAAATGATCCCATACACGTATCAAGACTATATCCTTGAGGACAAGGATATTTTGAGCGGGCGGGAATGATATGTTTTATTATTTAATTTAATTATAATTAGTCAAATTATATGTTAGTGGGTAGTTTTTTATTAGTGGGCATGAATTAAATTAGTGGGTTAGTGTGGTTAAGGGGTTAGTGGGGTGGTAGTTAATTATTATTTATGAGTATTATAAATAGGGTAATTAGAATGTTACGTATTATGAAGTTTAAGAATCAATTAATCTCCCTTTGTCTTCTCTTAATTCTCGTCTCTAATTCTTCTCCTAATTCTAATTCTCCTAATTCATATCTCTCGATTTCTTCTTAATTCTCGAATTATGTTTCTTTACTCAAATTACCACGTAACATTCCTGCAGTCCAAATCCAAGGGTGATAAGCCACAGCTCTTTAACCAAATATTTCCCATGTACCCCATATCACTTTGTCGAAGAAATATTTAATAAACACCTGATAGCAAAAAAAACACTGTGAAGTCGTTAGTTAAAGAGAACAATAAAGGCGGAAAAATAATATTCGTTAAATAATAAGGTGGAAAATTCGAGCAGGGGAAATCACATCAAACACTTTATGAAGAAGATTACGAAAACGAAAAATAAATAACAAATAATTGAATTGTTAACAAAAACGAAGACAAATAATTGCTTACGCTGAAGATTATTGGTATGACCAAAGAGAGGTAAACCAAATACTGTCCGTAAACCGATAGTTTTTAGCCTTTTGGTGACACGTATATATAGGGCAATTTGTGGGACTTGAGATTGAGAAATCGTTGAAAAACATGCGGTTAAGAAGAGAGTGGCTAACGAAAAAAAGAAAATAAAAGAAGAAGACAAAAATAAAATACATAAACCTAATATAATGAACGTGTGCAATAGATCTTCACTATTTCTATTTCTATTCTATCTATCTACCAAGCATGAATGTATTTTGTTTCTTAACTTTTTTGTGCTTCTTATTATGCCCCTTATAATAAAATTATACAATCAATTATTTATGGTCAATTTTGTAATAACAAAAATGAAAATAATAAATTAACATAGCTTAATAATATAATGTAATTTAAATATCAAATGTCTTTTCATTTTCATGTGCTATATTTATACTAATGTGATAGTTTATTTTCTTTTTATTGTAATTTTTTCTACATATTGAAAATTTTAATGTAATTTATTTTTTATAAAACTAAATTTGAAGAACTTCCCAATGATATGTTATGAGCATATATATGTAAAAAATTATTTTAAAATAAATCCTTTTATTTTAAGTTAAGCGCTAGATACCTAAAGTACATCCAAATTTAAATTAGTTCTCATATAATTTTTATCACGTAAATTCCACAAATATGAAAATTTAATAATGTAAACTCAAACTAATTATTATTTATATTATTTTATATTAATAAATATTGATAACCAATATATAAGAAATATGTCTAGAAATAAGATGAAATACTTGTGAATGATTAAGATTGAATTTAAAATATCGAGGTTAAATAAATTCTTAAATTTTATTTACCATCTATTCATGCATTTTATTAGTATACATGATAATATAATTTAACCATAGTCAATTATGTAAAAAAACATAAAATATAATAAGTTAGTAAATGATAATGCATGTTACTTACTTTTTAGCAATACAATTTTATTGTCAAGGACCTGTTAGTATGTACTACAAAATATGTTAAAATTTATTGTTTACTTAGTTATCGTAATTATTTTTAGGGCAAATTACCAAAACCCCCCTGAGGTAAGCCTAAATAACGAAAATCCCCCCCATGTTCTCGTAATTACGAAAATCCCCCTTGACTAACGGTTGACCGAATTTTTTTAACCGAAAACGTGAAATGTCTATTATATCCTTCTGTTAAATATGTGAAAATAAAAGAAAAAAGCTGAAAATGTGATTCTCTCAGAGGCAAATCGTCGAACAGGAGGCGTGCACCGGCGAACGCCTTGAACCGGGCGTCATCAAATCCCAAGGAGTTGCGTATTTGAATTCCGTTGACGAGGAGTTTCTGCTGAGCCTCGCCTTTGCTGAGAGGCTCGATTTAGGGCTCAATCGATTCGATCTCGTCTACACCGATTTGAAACTCGGCATCATTGATTTCGGCAAACTCGAATACGGCTCGAGAACCGCCGACAAGAAGCTGCGGAAAATGGAGAAATTAGTCTCCGCCAACTCGTCTTTGCACGCAGCATTGGAGGGTTTGACGGAGATGGAGGTTTCGGAGAGGAGGCTGAAGCAATTGAAGGAGAGGCAGATCGAGCTGCTGCAGAAGGCCAATTTCGACCTTTTCAATCACAAACTCGAGAATCAGCGCAAAGATGTTCGATATTTCAGAATGATTTCACTCTGGTCCAAAACTTTCGATAAAAGTGTTGACTTGATGGCAAGATTTGTATTCCTTCTGTATGCAAGAATTTGCTCTGTTTTAGGGCAGGGGATTAATCCACCCCCTATCGAAACAATCAAGGAAAAGCTCGTTCCGCATTCGGGTCCTCTTTTAACCACGTCGAAACCTACCATGGTCCGCTTTTACAGCCGGAAATCACTTCTCTTCTTCGACGAAGATGATAATGGTAATGACGGTGATGGCGGTTATGGAGCTGACGAGGAAAAGATTGTGAAAAGCAACAAGGTGTTCCATTCCGCGGGGCCCACAACGCTTGGAGGGACGGGCCTTGCATTGCGTTATGCGGACGTGATTTGAGATTAGATTCCGGCGGAAGAGATTCGAGCCCTAATCCGATCAACATCGCACCGGATAAAATGCTTACAATTACCCCCCTAAGGGTAATTTCGTGTACAAGGGCAAAATTGGTATTATCGGAGGAATATTCGGGAGAATCAAAAAGATTCTATCGAGTTTAACACCGTTAGAGCGATTTGTAAGATATCTGCATACCTCAGGGGGGTTTTCGTAATTACGAGAACGTGGGGGGGATTTTCGTTATTTAGGCATACCTCAGGGGGGTTTTGGTAATTTGCCCTTATTTTTACGGTAAATTTTATTTTACTCCCTTGTACTTTGGCTCGATATCACTTTACCCCCTTCTACTCTTGATTGCATCAATTTGCCCCAATGTACTTTAAAAATTGTCTCAATGTGGCCCTCACCGTTAGTTGTCAGACATTTGACTTTAACACCGTTTGATCTCAGTCTGAAAATTACAAAAACAACCGTTTGATCTCGAGTTTAAATAATTATTAAAAAAAATTGTAGCTGGCGTCGTGGACCATGTTTTCTCGTTGTCTTGATTTTATTATTATTATTATTATTATTATTATTATTATTATTATTATTTTAATAATTATTTAAACTGGGAGATGTGACATTTTTGTAATTTTAGAACTTAGATCAAACGGTGTTAAGGTCAAATGTTTGACAAATAACAACGAGGGCCACATTGAGATAATTTTTCAAGTGCAGATGGGGCAAATCGATGCAATTGAGAGTAGAAAGGGGTAAATTGATACCGAACCAAAGTACAAGGGGGGAAAGTGGAATTTACCCTTATTTTTATACATTAAATTTCAACAATGCTTGTTCTTTAGAGTTACATTTTAAGAGTTTACGAGTAATCTTAATATTATAAGCATATGTATGTAATTTGTTTTCTTAAATAAATCCTCTTGTTTTAAGTTAAGCATTAGATACCTAAAGTAGTTTCAAATTTAAATTAATTCTTATATGTAATTTTTATTACGTAAATTCCAAAAGTATGAAAATACAATAGTATAAACTCAAACTAATTACTATTAGCTAATACCGGTAATAATATTTATATTATGTTATATTAAAAGTATGATCATCTTTTAATATATATGTTATAATTTCTTTCAGAAGTCAAAGTTTATTTTCTTAAAATTTAAAAGAAAATTTATTTAAAACACATAGTAGAGTTTTTCAGTGACATATCATAAACACGTGAGTGAAAGTTCATGTAAAAAATAAAGTTTAGCTCATAAGTATTAAAAACCTATTAGTATACTAGAAAATATGTTAAAAGTTGTATTTTTTTTGTTATCGTAATTATTTTTATACATTAAATTTAAGCAATGCTTTTTCTTTAAAGTTACATTCAAGAGTTTTTCAATGATCATAATATCATATGTATATAAATAAGTAATCACATAAAAATGACTTTGTATTTTTAAATTGAGGGCTCCGCGTTTAATGTATATTTAATCGTTAGATGTAATAATTATTATAAACTTCATATGTCCTATATTATATGTTGTTTTGGCTGGTTGCACGCATATTAAGAAATTTAATAGATATGCATAGATTATACTACAAATAACATAGTAAATAATAAAATACCCTTGTCATTAATTATTTTTCAATTAACTAATTAAGAGCGATAAGGGGTAAATTTGATAAAAATGTGATTAATTGATAAATAATATATGACAAAAGAAACACCCCAAAATGACAAATAATATGGCACATAGGGAGTACTTAATAATTAGTCTTATTGTTTACTTAAATATTTTTTTTAAATATTATACTGTAACTCAAACATCAATATTAATAACAAAATTTATAAAAATAAAGAAAAAAAGTAAAGTAATAGACGTGGATGATCAAAACTATTTTAAATTTTGAGGTCAAATAAAGAAAGTAAATATAAGGGTGTATATGTATAATTAGACCGAAGGGAGGTCAACGTAATTTACTCAACATTTGGTCAGATGTAAAAATACAATTTAAAAAAAGTAAATGATCAAATGAGTTAATTTTTACCTACTATCCAAATTCAAGGGAGATGCATTTTTCAAATTAGAGGCAGTCTAGCTGTAATTACACTACATATCATGGTCCTAATGTAGTAAATTTAGATTTTTTTAAAGAAAATTGTTGGTAAATTTGACCAGACTGATCATAACATACGAGTAACACGAAAAAATACTTAATTGTTTCAAACAATAATTAAGCAGATAAATTCAAGATAATGAAAATTATCAACTACCACAACAACATCGAACAAATTTTAATGTGAGCATTTTCCATGCCTGAATTAATATATATCAATTTATTTTAGTTACTTTCTTGTGGTTTTATATTTTTATTGATATTAATTTTAGAATAATTTTATTTCATTATACGTTTTAATACATAAGTAGAACATGAAGTTTTGCACTTATTTTATATTATTTAAAAATATCTTTTTTTTAATGTAGTATGTAACTTTTATTAGTTAATGATAAGTTATATATTAAGTAAAATCATACGTAATTACATACACCGCACGTGGTGTTTGCTAGTTATTTATTTTTTTTTTTTTGACTTATAAAAGTATGAATAGTTAGGAGATTTCTTCCTTTTTTTGTATGGACAAAATTGCCCTACAAAATAATCTTTAGATGTAGGATTTCTTGGACAATAAAGTTATTTAACTATTATATTTTGATTACAATAATAACTAATAATAACTCTTCCTTAGATAATTCAATTCAATTGTATTTATAAAAAAAAGAACCACGCAAATAAATAAAAGTAACAGTTAAAATTAGGCACTTTATAAATAAGCCCATCAATGGGTACTTATTCATAAAGATGTCAAGACAATAAACTCTTTTATAAAAAAAGTCCACACATGGTCCAGAGGTTTGTAAAAGACTAAAATAGTCCCTCATATTTTAATATGCTCCAATATCATCATTTAATTTAATATAACCTCAATTTGACCCCAAATTTCATAAATTATTCAATTTTGACCCAAAACACATTTTTATGGACAATTTCGTCCGTCACCGCCGGTCTCCGGCGTTGACTTTTTTTTCTTTTTTTTTTTCTCTTTTTTCCGCCACCGGTTTCCGGCGGCCAACGCGGTTCTCTGGCGTTGACTTTTTCGAAGAAAAAAAATTCTTTAACATCTTTTTGCCCCCTGTTTAAATAGCAATATTGTTGTGATTGACAGTAATATTAACTATATTACTGTTAAACACAGTAAAATTAACTATACTACAGTTAACATAGTAATATTGCTATATTAATCTCTAGCACAGTAATATTAACACAACGAAACACAATTAAATTAAAGTAACATTTAAAACTGACAAAAGAAATACACAACGGTGTAATTTAGCTAGATAAAATTTAAAGTGTAATAAGATAATATTAATTTATAATCAATTTCTTCAAAAATAAAATAAAATACAACCAGTCAGTAATATATTGTATATTAATCAGTAGCTTATTGTATTTTAAAAGGGTGGTGATAAATGCAGGACTAATTTTAGTAAATGTAGGATCTTTTATTTTAAAAATTCAAAATCTAATATATATTCCATCTTATTTTGACAAATTCCATTTGAAGTTTCTAACGATAATATTTTGGGAGAATATCACATTAAGAGTCTTAGACGTAGATACTTTATATTAAAAAATTCAAAACCTAATATATCTCATCTTATTTTTTTCAATTTGTTTTTTATAAGTCTCCATCGACGTTACTTTGGAACAAGAACATGGATTTATTAATTTTGGAGGATAATACGGCTAAAAGTGAGGTAAAAATCTCATTTGGGTGCTAAATACATTCTTGTTTTTTTTCGTGTTTTCTGTTTTCTATGCCATAAAAAAATTCTTGTTTTCCTTGAAGGACAACAATGGTATTATTGGAAAGGGAGCATAATAACCATAGGGCGTGCGCCCATTCATACTTTGATTGTGTTTATTTGTAATTTTCAGTGTAAATATTTATATTTCTCCATCTCTACCTATCCATAGTAAATATGCATCTTCGATCTTGTTTTGCGATTTGGATGTCTTAACTGTAAGTTTTGAATTAATTCAACATAGTAATCTTGAAATCAAATAAATTTAGTTATAGTCAATGCTGAATATGAAAGATAAATAAATTTAGAGTTTCTTTAGATGTGTTTGAGGCTGTAAATTGTAGAGAATAAACGTACTTTGTAGGTTGTTCACGATAAATATAGGATGATAATTAATTTTTATATTAAAATGTCTATAACTACTAAAATACGTTCTAAAATAGAAATAAAAATTAAAATTAAAAAAATGTCCTACATTTTCTAAAAGTCATTCTGCATTCATCATTTTCCATTTTAAAAAACAATAAGCAATAGTGTAATTTTATTTTTAGTATCATCTTATCTAAATAGTAATTATCCACACAATATATATATATATATATATATATATATATATATATATTATGAAAAAAATGATAGAATTTAAGGGATAATTAAGAAATATTAATTTATAATCAGTTTCCTAAAAAACAAAATTACAACCAATAGGTAGTTTATTGTATATTAATTAGAGTAATTGATTTGTAGGATTCACTTAGACAAAGGTGCATAAAAGCAATACAATACAATAGTGTTTAGCAACAAATAACAGTCAGAAAGAACAATGAAAATGATTTATGAATTTGCAAAGTATATGTATTAATGTAAAGTTTAAATGACATTCAATATACGAAACTCAACAGTCTTTTTTAATTTGTTATCGATTTTAAATTTAAAGCAGTTACAAGTCACAATATATCATTAATGTAATATTAACTTATCAATAATGGGGCTCACATGCCTAACACGTGCTCCATTCTGTTAGCCGCTAATGCTTAATTGATAGTAGTGACCAACGACGTAATAATGTGGTAACATAAATGATCAAATGTGTTTTTTGTGAACATGTCATTTCAAATGTGAATTTGTGACAAAAACTGTATTTTTCCAACTTGTTTTGTTTCCATGATTGTCCCGAAACAAATTTTGTTTCTTATAGTTTTTAAATAAAACTCCTCAAAACAATTTTAAAAGTGTATATTTCTTTCAAACATGATTTGATTGTTACGGTAAAAACATAT